CCTTTAGCAAGATTTGGACTCTGGACATCAACAATATTCCAGTAAACTCTTTGTGCTTTAAGCCAGTTCTCACCTTTCCAAAACATGGGAGATCTCTTCTACTTTACAGTTTAAGTGCTAGATTTGGAAGTTACTGGACATCTAGTTTCATGCCTGGTTTTCTGTTCCTCAAGAGATCTCTCTCTATCCTACTTCCTCGCTTCCAGCTTTTGCAAAATGACTGTAGAATCTTTGGTTGAGTCTGTAGTACCCCTGCTCATCCTTCTTCCTCCCCTAGTGGGTGCATCCATAAATAGATGAAGAAAATATTTTTTTCTTTTATATCTCAAATAAGAATAAAGGAAATTAAAACTGAATTTTAGTTTGAGCTCACTCACCTACTCTGACCCTAGGAAAATAATGAAAATGATCAGAATGACCCCTCATTCTTGCTGGAACTGCAACCCAAACCAAGTGCTCAAGTACTCAGAGACTGTTGTAAGATTCCACACATCCATGCCATCACTGGCTCCAATTACAGGGAAGCAATACCAACCTTGGGGGCCAGGATTATTCAGATGGTTGAAGAATCCCAATTGAAACAGAAGGCTAAAATCACTGAGGATATCATCAAGATGTGATCTCTGTCTTAAATATAATAATAAATAAATGCCTCCAACTAATAAAAATAAATGGAAAGAAAATAAATATAATAATAAATAAATAGTATGGAAAATTTTTGATTGGTTTCTGAGACTTGGTATCTTAAAATTTTCATCTAATGAGTTAAAGAAAGCAAAATGTGATCCAGTCCTAAGATAAGAGGCAGCATAGGCTAGTGGTTAAGCATCTGAGCTCTGGAGTTTGAATGCCTAGATTCAGTTTCTTCACCTTAGCCTTTTATATAACCTTTGTGTGCTTTAGTTTCTTTAGTGGTAAACTGGAGATAATGGTAGTACCTACCTCATTGGGTTGTTGAGAATCATGTAGTTAATATACAATGGTTTTTTATAAGTTAATAAATCAGCACTTAGAATATTACTGACTTACAACAAGCATATAGAAATTTTCCAGTTATTACTAGTACTAACTTCAGCAGATTCAGAAACACAAGGATGTGTGGATAATGACACAAAATAAAATTTATGGCCCAAATTACCCCCACCCATTCCATATCATACTCTCAGCCCAAAGTTTCCAAATATTTTCCCCATATAACTTAGAGATTCCCTTTCATTACTTACTATCACTTTCCCGACTTAGTAGAGTTGCACATATGTATTCCTCCTGTGTGAATATCATGGACATAGAAGAATGGACAAGGGGGACAAGTCAACCTGAGTTGGCTCCTTGGCAAGTAGGATATGCCTCTATGGTCAGTTAACTGGAAAACAGATGAATTGGCCAGGCAAAAATACTTCTGGCCCAGTTCTAGCCTCTAGGAAAAAGAAAACAAGAGATACTCTGGAAGAGCAGAGGCACTAAGATGTGAAGGAATGTGGCTTCTCTAGGGAAGAACTCATGAAATTCTGGCCCCAGATCCTAGAAAATTGCTGTACATTTGATGACCTCAAAATACTGTTGTTGAGAAGGAAAAATGGTAGTTTGAACACATTGTGCTTATCTCTTCTACTTCTTCTTGGAGCCCCACAAAAATGAAAGCAAGTGAATAAGACCAAAATAAACACACAAGGATAAAAAGAGTGGGAGAGGAGACATGAGAGGATGAGAAGCTGGAAAGCCAAGTGGAAAAATTAGCAGGGCTGAGAAAACTGCATACCGAGTGTCTACAGAGGTGGTACTAATGAGAAGCAAGCCGTTTCCTGCCACAGAACTCCAGCTGAGCTCAAGTACCAGAGGACCTAGCTCAAGTACCAGAGGACCTAGCTACTTGGGAAGAAAGACTCAGGGAGAAGAATGGGTTCAGGATGAAAAGATTATATGAAAGTCTCTGTAGAGATCCATTAGCCTTCAGATGCCTTCTACCATCTTGTACCTCTCAGCTGTCTACTTCTCCCTGCCAGGAATCTGGAGGCTTAGTCTGTGGAGCAATTGAAAGAGAAAGGTGCCTTACTAGAAAAAGGGAGAGTTATTGAAAGTCTACATACTGAATGAAGAAACCACACACTTCTCTGTCCACTTTCACCCCACCCCTACCCCCACAGTCTCCTTATTTGGTTGACTAGGCTATTTCCTCCATAGGCTTGAAAATAAGGAATTCTTCTCTGGAGACTGAACAGCCTCAGAGAAATGACCTGGAGTTTAGCTTCTGCTGTGAAAGCTACCAAATGACAAAACCCATACATGGACACCAGATTCAAATCAGCCTTTTAATACCTGATTGTTTGATGTAAATGGACAAAATATGACCACTGGACATTTAAGAAAAAAAATTCCAAAATAAATGAAAGAAACTAAAGAGAAGGAACCAACAACATTTGCTTCCCTTAGTTTCTGAGATTTCATGCATTCTTCTTTTCCTCCAACTTCACTGGCCATCCCTTCTCAAGTTCCTTTGCAGGATCTTCCTCATTTTCCTGAGCTTTAAATGTTACAGTGCCCAAGACCCTACTAATTCCAGGACCTCTTTTCTTCTCCATCTACAGTAACTCCTTTAGTGATCTCATCCAGCCTCATTGCTTTCTTTATCTGTATATTGTTGATTCCCAAATGTAAATCTCTAGACCAATCTGTCCCCTGACTCCACTCCACTCTAAGCCTATTCAACCTCTCCACTTGGTGACCTAACAAGCACCTCAAAATTATTGTGCTCAAAATGTTCTACTTATCTTCCCCTCTCCAAGAATCTGTACTTGCCAAAGTCTTCTCCATCTTCATAAATGTCAATTTATTAATTAATATATGTTAATAAATACCTTTCCAACTGCTCAAGCTGAAAATCTTGTGTATTAGTACAGGTTTCCCCAAAAGCAGATGCTGAGATAAAGAGTCAAGTACAAATAGTTTAAAGAAGAAGCAATGGTCACTAGTAGGAGACTAGGGATGCATGGAAGAGAAAGCAGCCAATAAAGATGTGTTGGTAAACCAGCTGCCACTGATTGACTGAAGTTTAATCTTGTGGGAAATAGCGTTAAACACGTGTGTCAGAATTATCCCATCTGAGAAGAAGGATATTCTGGGATATTTATATATCAACTCCTGAGAATCACTGGTTGAGGGCTTCCCTTAGGTGGGGTTAATTTCCAGCACTTCCGCTCTAAGGTAGGAATTGTTAGAATGGCTTTCCTTTTGCACTCAGGCACAAAAATGCAGACACCTGGGACATTAACAGCACTGAAACTTAAGAATTACCCATAATGCTTCCCCCCCTCTCTTTTTTTAACCCTATACCCCATTCCATTAGCAAATCCTGTCTTCAAAACATATTCGGAATCCACAGCTACCACCTTGACTTAAGCCACCAGCAACATTCACCTGGATCATTGCAACAGCTCACTTCTTGGTCTCCCTATTTCCGCCTTTTCTCCCTATTTTAGTTTCCTAGAGCAATTATAATAAAGTGCCAAAAACTGGGTGATTAAAACAATTGAAATATATCATTACCTCCTCCTAGCTTCACGTGGTTTGTGGACAATCTTCAGTGTTCTTTGGCTTATGGATGCAACACTCCAGTCCTCCATCTTTACATGGTGGTTTTGCTGTATCAGTTTACATAATCTTTCCTCTGTGCATGTCTGTGTGAGATCATATGGTGCAGACTTGTACCTGTGCAACTATAAATGCACAGAAAAGATTAGGGATTATACATATAGAATATTAAAAGTAGTCACCTCTTTGAGGGAACTGGGAGATAGCTAAAGGGAGCTATACGTTTTATATTTTGATATACGATATCATTGTGCATCTTACTCTACAACTGGATTTTTTTTCAATTTAACAGTGTAGTTTACAGCTCCTTCTATGTCAGTGCATATAGAAGCACCTCATACATTTTACTTATTATTTCACAATATGAATGTAATTTACTTTTTAAACCATCCCTTTGATGAATGCTAAGGTCATTTCTATTTTTTTCCTATTGTAATCAACACTATAATGAACAAACATCCTTGTTAAATGTTATGTGTGTACAGAAGTTCAAGTTTCTCAAGAAGAGAGACCAAGAATGGAATTAAGGATTTGGGGGGAGGCACAATTAAATTTTTGATAGACACTGACACACTATTTTCCAAGACAGTTATCCTACTTTACAATCCCACCAATGCTGTTTGAGAGTATTCATTTCCCTCACTCTTACCAACTGGATTTAATCCATACAAAAATATTTTTCAAGCACTGTATTTTAAAAATAGCTTATTTAAAAATTAATAAAAAAGCTCATTTTGTTCTCTGCTTTTCTGATTGCTCAGGATTGCACAACTTTTTTCATGTTTGTTAGCATTTGTGTTTCTTCTGTGAATTGCCAATTTTCTACTTATGAATTTGTAGGAACTCTTTATAATTAGTTTTATAGTGGTTTTGTGAGTTTTAATTTTTCATGTAATTAAATCTATCAGTCTTTTTTTTTGTGGTTTCTAAGTTTTTTTTTAATTTATTTTTTATTGAAGGATAGTGCTTTACAGAATTTTGCTGTTTTCTGTCAAACCTCAACATGAGTTAGTCTAGTAAAATTTTTTAAATTCCTGTTACTTTATTTAAAACATTTTTTTAAAATTTGGGTCTACCTCACAACATGTGGGATCTTAGTTCCCTAACCAGGGATCAAACCCATGGCCCTTGCTTTGGAGGTGCAGAATCTTAGCTACTGGACCACCAGGGAAGTTCCACCTAGTTTCTAAATTTGATGTATCTTAAGAATGCCTTTCCTTTGCAGCCAATTAAGCCGACTGTGCTCTTTTCCCCATGGGGGCCCAGTGTGCAACGGCTGCAAACAGCAGCCTCCTTGGTAGTGTATGCAGCCTGTTGCCTGTACAGGTAGCCCTAAGGGACCCTGGAGACAACTCTTCCTAGTGGCCATTCATGACTGGCCTGCTGTTTCCCAATCTAGACTCCAGACAGGTATGCGCGGTGCCTTTGGAAAGCCCCAGGGCACAGTGGCCAGGGTCCACATTGGCCAGGTCATAATGTCCATCCGCACCAAGCTGCAGAACAAGGAGCATGTGATTGAAGCTCTCCGCCGGGCCAAGTTCAAGTTCCCTGGCCGTCAGAAGATCCATATCTCCAAGAAGTGGGGATTTACCAAGTTCAATGCGGATGAATTTGAGAACATGGTGGCAGAAAAGCGACTCATCCCGGACGGCTGTGGGGTCACATACGTCCCTAATCGTGGTACCCTAGACAAATGGCGGGCCCTGCACTCATGAGCATCAGCGCTGTCCCCTCCTTAATCATGATCACCAATAAATGCTATTTCCTGTCAAAAAAAAAATAAAGAATGCCTTTCCTACACTCCCTCTCACAATTTGGAAATAGTCTATCTTATCCACTATTACTTTGTTTTTATAGTTTATCTATTTTAATCAAATTGAAATTTAGTTTTGCATATGGCATGATAAATGGTTGGAACATATTATTATTCCCCAATGCATAGACAGTTGTCTCAACATCTGTTGTAGACATTAATTTCCCCTCCAATTTGAAATAGCTTCTTTTTAATGCACTAAATTCCAAGAGAAATAGATAGATGAAGGGGGATTATAGCTAGTGTTGGACCTTGTATTCTGTTTTTTGGTTTGTTTGTTTGCTTTTTAATGTTAATCTTTTCTTGGGCCAATAATATTCCATTTTAATAATTATAGCTTTGTGGCACATTTTGATATCTAATAGGGTAAGTCCTGAAGATCTCCTGGAGTAGGAAATGGCAACCTACTCCAGCATTGTTGCCTAGAAAATCCCATGGGCAGAGAAGCCTGCAGGCTACAGTCCATAGGGTCGCAAAGGGTCGGACAGGACTGAGCACGAGCACAAGCGTGAGGATAAATCCCTCCTCCCCCTTGGTCAACATCTTTGGCTATTCTGCCTTGTTTTTTGTCAACCTGACACATTTCATTAAAAAAAAAATAGATAACTTTGAGTAGAAATGACATCTTTAAAATAAGCAATCTCCCATATGACTTTATATGTTTGGAACTTCTTTTATGTCTCAGAGTAAAACTTTGTAATTTTATTCATATAGAACTTTCACATTTCTTTCTGAGTTTACTTCTTGGTTCTTCATAGGTTTTGCAGCAGCTGTGAATTGATTCTTTTCCATGACAAATTCTAATAAGTTATCACTAGTCTATATAGGAAAGCTATTGACTTCTCTACAGTAATACTACACACAATTATTTTATTAACACTCATCCATTCTAATAATTTTTTTTGGTGGTCCACTTATATTTTCTATTTCAAATCTTGATTTCAAAATCTAGATTTTTAACTTTCAAATGAAAAATCTTTCATTTTCAAATAATGCTTGTACCTTTCTTCCATTCTTTTTTCTAGTTTCTCAGTAATAGTTGGGGCTTCCCTGGTAGCTCAGATAAAGAATCTGCCTGCAATGCAGTAGACCTGGGTTTGATCCCTGGGTATGGAAGATCCCCTGGAGAAGGGAATGGCAACCCACTCCACTATTCTTGTCTGGAGAACCCCATGAACAGAGGAGCCTGGTGGGCTCCAGTTCATGGTGTTGCAAAGAGTCAGACACGACTGAGCGATTAACACACACAGAGTAATAGTAAAGTACTCCAATATGATATTGACTAGCAGAGGTGTTAATTGGCATGGTTTTCTTGTTCTTTATTTTAGTGAGGTTTGTGGTTCACCATTTTTCTTCTAAGAGATAAGTTTGGGCATGGACTGTCAATTAACAGAAGCTTGAATGTATTATTTAAACAAATTGTTTACTTGGAATAGCTTCATTCAGCAGACAGCAGACATCATGGAAGAGATTCTATAGCTGACCTCTCTTGGTCCCATAGAAATGTCCTGACTAGGGGACAATGTGTTAACAATTGATATGAGGTGGGTCTCCTGGAGACTAAGTTGCTGCCCAAATACTTTTCCAGTAACTCTTTATACCTGTTCCTTGCATGGGTAACACAACTTGTGCATATTACAGTAATATGTTCAACTTTACAGGATACATCTGTATTTAATATAAGTTATTTAATTTAATAGACTACATCTGTATATAATATTTACACACTTATTTAGCTCTGGATGGTTTCCTTTATGGGGGGTCATATTGTGGGCATCCCCTTATGGGGAACTCCCATCACAAGTAAAATGTTCACCTTTGGTAGATACTTTTTATCACATTACAGAAAGATAGCATGGTTATAATAATAATAATAGCATGGTTATGGCTATTTATTTCAGGATATCAAATTATTCCCAAAACCAGTGGCATAAAGAAACAACTATTTTATAGCAAGTTCTGGCAAGGATATGGATAAAAGAGAATCCTTGTGCATGGTTGCTGGGCATATAAATTGGTATAACCACTATGGAAGACAATATAGAGGTTCCTCGGAAAATTAAAAATTGAAATACCATATGGTCCAGCAATTCCACTTCTGGGTATTTATCCAAGGGGACAAAAACATTCCAAAAGATACATTCACTCCCCCAGATTCATTGCAGCATTACTTGTAATTGTCAAGACGTGGAAGCAAACTAAGTCCTCATCAATGAATGAACGGATAAAAAAATATGATATATATATATATGTATATATACATATATATATCAACCCGCTCCAGTACTCTTACCTAGAGAATTCCCTGTAGAGAGGAGCCTGGCGGGCCGCAGTCCACAGGGTTGCACAGAGTCAGACACGGCTGAAGAAACTAGGCAGCAGCATGCATATATAATGTGCATATTATATATATATAATGTATATACATACATATATACAATGGAATATTATTCAGCTCACAAAAAAGAAGGAGATCTTGCCATTTGTGACAACATGGATGGAATCTTGAGGGCATCATGCTAAGTGAAGTAAGTCAGAGAGATCTTATGATCTCACTTATATGTGAAATATAAAAAAACAAAAACCAAAGTCATAGATAAAGAGAACAGATTGATGTTTGCTAGAGGCAGGAGCTGGGGATGGGAAAAATGGGTGAAGAGAGTCAAAAACTATAAACTTCTACAAATTCTCTGGCAGTCCAGAGGTTAGGTATCTGCACTTCCACTGCAGGGGCATGAGTTTGATACCTGACCCAGGAACTAAGATCCTGCCTAGCAAAAATGAATAAAAATTAAATACACACACACACACACACACATATATATATATATATATATATGGTACAAACTTCCAATTATAAAATAAATACATCCTGGGGATATAATGTATATGTTGACTATAGTTAATAATTGCATATTTTAAAATTGTTAAGAGGGTAAATCTTAAAAGTTCTCATCACAAGGAAAACAGTGTTTATTAAATGGTGACAAATGTTAACAAGACTTACTGGGGTAATCATTTTGCAATATAGACAAATATCAAATCATTATGTTATATACTTGAAACTGATATAATGTATGTCAATTATATATCAATAAAAAAATTAACAACCATTTTATTTTCCTCATGGATTCTGTTGGTCAGGGATTCAGAAAATGATAGTGGAAATGGTTTGTCTCTGCTCTGCAATGCCTGGAGTCTTAGCTAGCAAGACTCAAATAGATGGGGGTGACTCAAATGGCTGGTGGTTGGAATCATCTGGAGGCTTTTTACTCATTTGTTTGGCAGAAATAGCCAGAAAGCTGGTCTTAGCTAGGACGGTCAGCTGGAGCATCTACACATGGCCTCTCCAAAGTGGTGGCCTCAGCGTAGTCAGAGTTACAGGGCAGCTCTGGGCTCCCAGAAAGAAAGTGGCAGCAAGCAAGGAAAAACTGCATGACCTTTTGTAACTTAGCCATGGAAGTCATGTGGCATCAATTCTGCAGTTCTTTGTTGGTCAGAGTGGTCATAAGCCCACTTATTGGGGAATACATGTAAATCCATGGCTGATTCATGTCAATGTATGACAAAACCCACTACAATACTGTGAAGTAATTAGCCTCCAACTAATAAAAATGAATGAAAAAAAAAAGTCCACTTATATTCAAAGAGAGGGGGCATAGGGACTTCCCTGGTGGACCAGTGGTTAAGAATCCACCTTACAATGCAAGGGACACAGGTTTAGGCCCTGATTGGAGAACTAAGATCCCACATCCTGCAGGACAACTAAGCCGGCAAGCCACAACTAGAAAAGAGTCTGTTCACAGCAAGGAAGATCCGGTGCAGCCAAAACAAAGATAGGGGACAAAAACCCACCCCTTAATGAGTGATATGTTTAAGACTTTGCGGCCACGTTTTAAAACCACCACTAGTTCTCAGCTCAAATGTCACTATATCAGAGAGGCCATCCCTTCCCAACTTTCCTAAAATTGCCTCTCCTAGGTACTCAATCTTATTTTGTTAATTTATTCTACAACTCTCATCACAATTTGTAATTATCTATTCATTAGTTTTGGTTTGTTTTCTTTTTCTTGTTAGTCTCACTTCCAGACTGTGGACTCCGTAAGGACAGGAATCCTGCTTCTCTGGCTCACCCCTGTATTCCCATGACCCACAAGAGGGTCTGACACATGGCAAGTATTCAATAAATAGTTATTGAGAAAACTAAATAACATATGTCGATAAATATTTTCACAAAACTGAATAAACTCTTATCTTTTCATTATCTCAAACACGCTTGAACAAAGCATGGACACGCTTGAACAAACATGCTCCCCCAAAGCCTGGAGCTCACTATTTCATGAGAACCCTTCCTTCTTTGGACCACTCTGGGTATTAGAAAAAAATCTGTTAAAAATTAGATCAACCTATAGATGAAGGACGCTTGTTCAGAAATCAAAGGGAATGGGCATTTTTTGAGCCCAACCTAAGTGCCAGCACTACGCAAAGTGCTTTCCACTCATTATCTTCTTTAATTCTCTCAATAACCCATAAAGTATCCATTTTACAGATGAGAAAAGCTGAAGTGCAGAGAGACGAGGTGACTTACCAATGTCACATGGTCTACAGAACTGAATTTTGAGAATTACTATATAGAACTGGAATTTGAGGCCAGGTTTATGAATTAGGGAATGCCCCAATTCATCCTCTTAACTTTGTCTTAAAGAGAAATAAAAGTCAATCATCCTGTTAAAAAGTGTGGTAGAAAAAAAGGCTGAAAGTAAAAGCAAACATATTAATTGATTTGTTTGTCAAAGCCTCATGCATTACCTTCCTTGCTAGCTAAGGCATCTAATTGACAGAGATAGGGAAATCAAATATAGCTGCCAAGTCCCTCTATTCCTCGCCCTTAAACCATGAACA